CTATGTGCCAGGCACTGTGCTAATGGCTGGGGGATACAAAAATATGGGAAGAAGATGAACATTTATGTAGAGTCTCATATGTGCTAGGCACTGAGGTAAAAAAAAGGGGGGGGGAAGGAATAAGCATTTTTATAGAGGCACTATTTGAAAGGCTGTGTGCTAATTGCTGGGGATACAAAAATAAGGGAAGGGGATAAGGATTTCTAGAGAGCCTACTGTGTGAAAGGCAATGGGGTAATTGCTGGGGATACAAAGATAAGGGAAGAAGATAAACATTTATATAGAGCCTCATATGTGCCAGGCACCATGCTAAGCACTGGGGATTGAAAAATAAAGAAAGGCGATAAACAGTTGCATAGAACCTACTATGTGAAAGGCACTGGGATAAAAAAAAGGAAGGGAATAAACATTTATATAGAGCCTACTATGTGCCAGGCACTATGGTAATTGCTGAGGCTGATTACAAAAATGAGGGAAGGGGATAAGGATTTCTAGAGAGCCTACTGTGTGAGAGGCACTGGGGTAATTGCTGGGGATACAAAAATAAGGGAAGGGGATAAGGATTTCTATAGAATCTACTATGTGCCAGGTACCGTGTTAATTGCTGGGGATATAAAAATAAGGGAAGAAGATGAACATTTATGTAGAGCCTCATGTGTGCCAGGCACTGAGGTAAAAAAAAAAAGGAAGGGAATACCATTTGAAAGGCCCCGTGCTAATTGCTGGGTTGCAAAAATAAGGAAAGGGAATAAGGATTCCTGTAGAGCCTACTCTGTGCCAGGCACTGTGCTAATGGCTGGGGATACAAAAATAAGGGAAGGGGATAAGGATTTCTATAGAACCTACTGTGTGAAAGGCACTGTACTAATTGCTGGGGGTACAAAAAAGGGAAGGGGATAAACATTTTTATAGAGCCCCATGTATGCCAGGCACCATGCCAAGCACTGAGGATTCAAAAATAAGGAAAGGGGACAAACAATTCCATAGAACCTACTATGTGAAAGACACTGGGGTAAAAAAAAATAAGGGAAAGGAATAAACATTTCTAAAGAGCCTACTATGTGAAACCCCTGTGCTACATGCTGCGGATACAAAAATAAGGGAAGAAGATGAGCATTTATGTATAGCCTCATATGTGCCAGACACTGAGGTAAAAAAAAAAAATGGAAAGAGAATAAACATTTCTATAGAGCCTACTGTGTGGAAGATACTGTACTAATTGCTGGGGATACAAGAGTAAGGGAAAGGAATAAACATTTTTCCAGAGTCTACTGTGTGAAGTGTTGGAGTATAAAAATAAGGAAAGGGGATACACATTTCTATAGAGCGTACTAGGTACGAGGCACTGGGCTAATTGCTGGGGCTGGCTACAAAAATAAGGGAAGGAGATAAGCATTTCTGTTGAGCCTACTATGTGCCAGGCACCGTGCTGATTGCTGGGTATAAAAACAAGGGAAGAAGATGAACATTTATATAGAGCCTCATATGTGCCAGGCATCATGCCAAGCACTGGGGATTCAAAAATAAGGAAAGGGGATAGGTAAACAGTTCCATAGAACCTACTGTGTGAAAGGCACTGGGGTTAAAAAAATAAGGAAAGGGAATAAACATTTCTATAGAGCCTACTAGGTACAAGGCACTGTGCTAATTGCTGGGTCTGGCTACAAAAATAAAGGAAGGGTATGTGCCAGGCACTATGCTACTTGCTGGGGATACAAAAATAAGGTAAGGGGATAAGCATTTCTATAGAGCCTACTATATGCCAAATACTGGGGTGAAAAAAATAAGGGAAGGGAATAAACATTTTGCTTTTTTTTGGTGAAGCAATTGGGGTTGAATGACTTGCCCAGAGTCACATAGCTATTGTCAAGTATCTGAGGGGGAATAAACATTTCTGTAGTGCCTAGTAGGTGCCAGGCACTGTGCTAAGTGCTTTCCACAAATATCTTATTTTATCATAGCTGCATTGTTTATGACTATGCAAAAAACAAATTTTTGCAAATGACAAACAAATAGCTGCTGAATTTATGAGTAGCAGAACAAATTCTCATATTGGCCATGTCTGAAAATGTATGTTCTCCATTTTAATTTTTTCACCTCTGTGCTGAGGAGGTGAGTAATGTGTTTCTTCTTTTATTCTTTTTGGACCAGTGGTTTTTCATTACAGTGATCAAAGTTCTAAAGTCTTTCAAAGTTGTTTTTCTCTATAAGTTGTGTGTGTGTGTGTGTGTGTGTGTGTGTGTGTGTGTGTGTGTGTGTATTTCTGGTTCTGCTCATTTGCTCTGCATCCGTTCATAGAGGTCTGTAACAAATATGCTTGGTCAAGCAAAGGGCAGCTAGGTGGTGCAGTGGATAGAGCACTTGACCTGGAGTCCGGAATACCTGACTGTTTTCTAGCTTTGTGACCCTTGGCAAGTCAGTTAACCTTCTTCATCGTCTGTTTCCTGTTAATAAAACAGCACCTACATCCCAGGGTTATTGTGAGGATACTTTGAGAGAATAGTTGTAAAGTACATAGCATAGCACCTGTTACAGATTGGTTGCTTAATAAATGCTTGTTCCTTTCCTTTTCAATTTCCTCTGAAACTATCCATTTCATCACTTGTTCAGTTGTTTTTTGGTTGTGTCTGAACCTTTGTGACCCCATTTAGGGTTTTCTTGGCAAAAAGTGCTGTAATGGTTTTCCTTTACCTTCTCTAGCTCATTTTACAGATGAAGAAGCCGAGGCAAACAGGGTTAAGTGATTTGGCCAGAGTCACACAGGTAGTAAGTGTCTGAGGCCAAATTTGAACTCAGGAAGATAAATCTTCCAGACTCCTGGCCCAGTGCTCTTATCCACTGCAGCGCCACGTAGCTGCGGTTATCATTTATTATGGCACAATAATATTCTGTTACAATTCACCTACCACAATTTGTTTAGCCATTCCCCAATAGGACATCTTAGTTTCCAATTTTTGCTTACTATGAGAAGAGCTCGTGATTTTTTATATATAGGTCCATTTCCTCTTTCTTTGATTTCTTTGGAAGTATGGGCCTAGTAGTGGTATAATTTGTTCAAAGGGAGTTCCTCTTCCTTCCTTTGATTTCTTTAGGGGTATAGGCCTACTAGCAGTATATCTGGGTCACAGGGTATGCACAGTTTCAAAACTTTTGAGGCATAGTTCTAAGATGTATGTTTTATTATTTTTTTTAAATGTCTGGTGTTCAGTGTTGAAATAGATTGTTTTCATCCAAGACCTTTATCTCCCAGAACAGAAAATGGTGGAGCTATAAATGAAAAATATTCTGTGTTCTCATAGTGAAAATTATTTTAATTCATGTAACCACATTACCTAATTCCTCAGATGCATACACAAACACACACAAATGATTTAGTTTAATAAAATAAGATTGTAAAATTATTGGCTTTGATTCTTTTCCAAGGAGCTTATTAGACTATGTGGTAAGAGCAGCAAAGCCAATTCCATTTAGTGTAATTGTAATTAAAAGCTAATTAGTTAATTAATTCATTGTTCTAGAGCTGTACTAAAATCACTTCAAAATTACTGCATTAAAATATGTCTTAATGAGAATGTTTCAGATTTTGATAGGGCTATTAAGTTATCCAATATATGGTCCATATATAGAGATGCACATTGAATCTACTTTTTTTTTTTAATAGAAAAGTATCCACCTACAAATTCATTGTTTGAAAAATAGCTCACTGATTGCTATCTCTGGCTATTGAATAATGAAATCATTATAATAACAGCCCACATTTATATAGCATTTTAGAGTTTCCAAAGCACTTTTCTCTCAATAAACCCTGTGATGTAGGAGTATCATTACCACCTCCATTTTATGGATGAAGAAGCTGGCAAAGGTAGGAAAAGCTACTGTGACTTTTTAAAAATGTGTTGATAAGTTTTTATGCAACAGATACTTCCCAACAAACCTCCAAATAACCTCCCCTGCCATACACCCAAAGTAATTCTCCCCAGACATTTATTCATTAAAATAATGTGTTCTTTAACTTTGATAGTAGTGTATTGACATTGACTATTGTAATTGAAAAGTTTTGTTGTTTCTGCATGTTGACTTTTTGTTGTTTCATTAATTATCTTTTTTTCTCCCTCTGCATAACTTCATACTTATCTTTTTTCCTAATCATTTGTATTTGTTCTTTTGAAGTTATTTGCCTTTCCAATGTATACATTGTATTGTATACATTATTCTCCTGATTCTGCTCACTTCACTTGATAGCAGCTCATACAAATCTTCCCAAGTTTCTCTGAAACCATCATTTTTAATGGCACAATAGTATCCAATTTCATTGATAAACCATAATTTGTGCAGCAGTTCTCCAATTAATGCTCCCCCCCAACCAGTTTCCAGTTCTTTGCTACCACAAAAAGCTGCTGTAAATAATTTCGACCATTGTGGGTCTTTCTCTCTTTGATCTCCTTTGGGTCAGGTAGTAGCATTGTGATGTCAAAGACTATACACAATAGTGACTGTTGTACACAATAGTCAAAGACTACACACAATAGTGACTGTTATAGGCCAGGAAGCTGGTGGAACTTGGAAGGTATGAATTGAACGCTCTCTCTTCTCATAACGTTATCTGGCCCTGTTGTGAGCAAGGAGTTATAATGCAGATCTGGGGCAGCTACGTGACCCAACTGTTAGGGCAAAAAAGCAGTTTTGAGAATTTTGGCAAGGACCTCCTGAGCCTGCCCACAACTTTCTGATTGACTGCTTTTTAGCCTTTTTGCCTGTGACTTCAATTTGTTTTTATTCTCTGGACTGCTCTTTGTTTTGAGAACTGCTTCTTCCTGAGGTTATTGAAATATATTTTTATTAAAAGGACTCTTATTTGTTTAAATCCTCAGGCTATCAGTTGCATTGTGCCATAGGAGTAATATCCACTTGGACAATCGTCTTCTTCATTTGATTTCCTTGGAGAGTAGGTCAGGTAGGTATCACTGGGTCAAAGGGTATGCATGGTTTGGTGACATTTTAGGCATGGTTCCAAATGGATTTCTAGAATGGCTGAACCATTTCACAAGTCCACTATCCTTACATTGGTGCTCCTGTTTTCCCATAGCCCTTTCAACATTTGTCATTATCCTTACCCTTTTTTTGGTCATCTTTGTCAATCTGATGAGTGTGTAAGGTAGAATCTCAGAGGTGCTTTGATTTGCATTTCTCTAATTACTAGTAATTGGAAGCATTTTTTTTATTTGTTGATAACTTGCATTTCTTCCTTTCAAATCTGCCTGTTCATGTCCTTTGACCATTCATCTCTCAATTTGAATCAGTTTCTTGTATCTCTTGTATACAAGACCTTTATCGGAGAAATGTGATGGGAAGATTTTTTTCTACAGTTGCCTATGTTTTTCTTCTAATTTGAACTGCATTGATTTTGTTCATACAAAACCTTCTTATTTTTATTTGAGTAGAATTGTCTTTTTATCTTCTGTGATCCTCTCCCTTGTTTGGTCATGAACTTTTCCCCTAGCCATACATTTGAAAATTAATTTCTTCCCTGTTCCTCTAATTTATTTATGATTCCCCTCTTTATGGCTATGTCATATTTCCATTTGAAGATTATCTTGGTGTGTGTTGTAAGATGTTAATCTATACCTAATTTCTTCCAGAATGCTTTCCAGTTTTCCCAGCAGTTTTTGTTCAATTTTTTGGGTCTTGACCCTGGTAGCTGAGGATCTTTGGGTACATTGAAAACTGTGCTATTGTGTTCATTTGGTTCTGTATGTGATATATGTAATATGTTCCATTGTTCAACCTCTGTATTTTTAACTAGCTCCAGACTGTTTTGATGATTACTGCTTTGTAGTATAGTTTTAGATCTGGTAGTGTTTTTTCATCCCTTCCCCCATTATTTCCCTTGACGTTTTTGACCTTTTGTTTCTCCAGATGAATTTAATTATTATATTTTATTATTCATTATTATATTTTCTAGCTGTAACCCTTTCTAGTAATCCTTGGGCAGTTTGATGGCCATGTCATCAAATAAGTAAATTGATTTAGAGAGTATTGTCATTTTTATGACTTGTCCATCACCAATGAATATTTCTCCAGTTATTTAGGTCCATATTTCAATAAAGAATGCTTTGCAACTGCATTCGTCCAGTTCCCGTATTGGTCTTGATAGATAGACTCCCAAGTCTTTTATACATTCTGTAGTTATTTTAAATGATATTTATTTTTCTTTCGCCAGAGTTTTGTTAATATATAGAAATGCTGATAACTTATGTAGATTTATTTATATTCTATAACTTTGCTAAAATTATTAATTGTTCAAATTAATTTCAGTTGATTCTTTATTAGTGGTGTCCAGCTGAAATGGAAATGGGGCCACTAAAGTGAACAAAGGGATCCCTGTGGGCCATGTATTGTTTTAGAAAACCACTTATTAATGCTATCTATGGTCTACTGCATATTTATATATTTTGTTAAATATTTTAATTATATTTTAATCTGGTTCAGGTTGAACCCAGGAGTGTTGAGACTGGGATGCATGTTTGACACCTCTGTTCAGGACTGATCAGTGTATAATCTTCAGAAATCCATAGTTTCTTTTCTTGTTTGCCTGTGTTTATTCCTTTGATTTTTTTCTTGCCTTATAGCTATAGTTAGCATTTCTAGCACTGTGCTATATAGTAGTGGTGATAAAGGGTATCCTTCCTTGGTTTACCCTTGATATTTTTGGAAAGTCCTCCAACCTTTATACATTGAATACAGTATCCTTCATTTTTGGTAGACACAACAGACTGATAAGGAAACATCCATTTTATTCATACACTTTGTTTTTGCTAGAAATTGATATTGGATTTTTTTTCTTTTCTTTTTCTTTTTTTTTGTAGGTAATTGGGGTTAAGTTACTTGCCCAGAGTCACACAGCCTAGTAAGTGTCTGAGGCCAGATTTGAACTCTGGTCTTCCTGACTTCAGGGCTGGTGCTTTATCCACTGTACCACCTAGCCACCTTTGTATTGGATTATTTTCAAAAGCCTCTTCAACATCTGTTGATATAGGGGCAGCTAGGTGACGGAGTGGACAGAGCACTGGCTCTGGACTCAGGGAGACCTGAGTTCAAATTCAATCACCGACACTTGACACTTAATGGCTGTGTGACCCTGGGCAGGTCACTTAAGCCCATTGCCTAGCAAAGAACAAAAAAAAATCTTATTAGAAATCTATTGATATAATCATCATTCTTGTTTTTAAAAATACAGTCTATTACATTTATTGTTTTCCTTATATTGAACTAACTCTGCATTCCTGGTATAATCCAGTCTGGTCATAGTGTCTTTTTAATATGTTCATTATAGTCAGCCTATTTTCTAATATTCTGTTTAGTATTTTTGCATCGATGTTTGTTAGGGATATTGGCCTATAATTTTCTTTCATTGCTTTGCCTCTCCTTGGTTTAAGCATCAAGATCATATTTGTATCATAGAAAGTTTAGAAGGGTCCCCTTCTCTATTTTTACAAATAGTTTATATAATGTTGAAATTAATTGTTCTTTAAATATTTGATGGGAGTAGATGGGGATATAGAAGCCCATGGTTTGTCCTACTCAGTGCTAGTCTGGTGTGGATTGGGCCTTTGGGTCACTCACTACTGGGTTTTGGTGCTAGTCTGCCTTGCCCTGATCAGCCTTGTCTATTACTACAGATGTGAGTGGGGTCCTTGTGTTGCCCACATTGGACCTCTCTATTTTTTCCCCTTTTCACCTAAACTAGATTACCCTGTTCTGTGATTCTGTAGGATTCTAAGTCTTTTGTCCTGATCTGGATGGGAAGTTTATAGCTGATTGTCTTTATCATTATTTTTTTATTTTTATTTTTATATTTTCTTTATTTTAAGGAGCCACACACACACACACACACACACACACACACACATTTAGTAATATTGTATTGTTTTGAAGGATTTGGGGCCTTCCCAGGCTTAATATAGCATCATCTTCCCACAATGTCCTGTATACTGTCAATACTGGTCATGACAGCCACTCAGCCTCCCCTCTTCCCACTTCTAGTCAGTAGCTACAGACTCCATGCCATCCCTTCTCTTTGGCTCATGCAGTTCCCAAATGAGTCATGTGATGTGAGTCTTCTTCCAACCAGGTATCCTAGTGCACACATATTTCTTTCAAATAGCCTCTCGTCTATCAAGAGGAAACAATACTGTCTGTCCAAGACTATATCTCCCAGAAACTTATGCAACCAGATGCTGGAGACCTTTTCCTGCTCGCAGAAAACTTGACTACAATTCCTTGCTACTAGAGGCTCATTCAACAGTGTTTTTGTATTGTCACATCTTCCAAGGAATAGTGAATGAATGATCTTGATGTATGTATGGATGGGAAATACCTTGATGCAAAAGTGTCTGGAAGGCAGCATTTTGTTCTATTAAATCAAATGCATTTTTATGGTTAAAAATAATTAGCATAATGGGGTTTTATATTCTCAGCTTCTTTCAGTTAACTGTGGAATGGTAAAGGTTTGGTCCATTTTTGAATGTCGTTTGTGGTGGGTAAAAGATGAAATGACTGAGGAAACCAAACTCTGATCTTTTGAGCATATCGGTTTATTAAGCAATGCATGCCAATTACCTAACAAATCAGGACCAGACCTTTTCAGCTTAGAGGGGGATGTGGACTTTTATACATTAAAAACAATTAATCAAATAAAACCAATTAATTAAAAGGAAACAACACAACATTAGGTAATCTAATGTCTAATTGGAGGAAAGATTAGGGACTTTTCAAGTTGGGAGGGGGAGAACGAACAGGTACAATTCCCTGAATTTAGAAAAAGATGTCCTACTCCCCCCAACTGTGTGTACCTAATCAAAGGAACATGGAAACAATCACTAATTGATTAGTATGGGTCCAGTTTTCAGATAAGACATATGGGTTGCTTGAGATGTACAATTGTCAGAAAACTCCTTGCATCAGTCTTTGGCTCTGACCGAGTTTCTGGTCAGCATAACCAAGGTCCTTGGTTAAGGGTCTCCAAGCAGCAGGAGAGGTGGTCCAGTTTCCCAGCCACACTGGGCAAGGTTCAAAGAATGCAAGAAGGTTTTCTCCCAATGCCCAGAATTGAATAAACTTTTCTCACAAGACAGAATTTGGACTAGACCCATAATTGAATAGAAAGAGAACTGAGCTAGCTCCAGAATTCAGTCACAAGATGGAGTCAGTATAGTTCATTCAGTTCCCACACTTAACCACTTGCTGTTCTAATCCCCTCAATTTTCTCACGCTTATGAAAGCTTTCTTGTTCTCTACTAAGACCATCATCAAGGAGGTCCTCACTCTCTGAATAAATGATTATCGTTAAGATTTTGTATCGATGGGAGAGTAGGCCTCTAGATCAATATTCATTGATAGTCTCTCAGTCACCATTTTTGGAGATATTTCCTATACTTTTTGTATCACCCCTTCCCCTAGTTCCCATGTCTGTCAACCCCTCAATCCCTTCACAATTTGTGTTCCTTCTAGTATGGAGCTCCTCTCTCTCTTCTTGGTCCAATCCTGTGTTTTCTTTTTTTCTCTTTCTACTTCCTCCACAAGCACCTCAGGGATTGTGATGGTTGAAGTGTGGTGGTTCCACTCTCCTTGATAGAGAAAACAACTTGTTGAAATGTGTTCTGCCAGTCTTCTTCATTCTTCTTCTGTTCTAGTCCTTCATTTTCATCCTTTTGTTTTAACCAGGTGTTGTCTTTGGTAATCATTAGTAGCCATCTGTCTGGCAAGAAGTCGAATGTTTGCTGACTAAAGTATTTGTTTTTCCATCAATCTACATTGATTAAACTTCTGGATGAAGTTATTTTAGTCAGTGTCTATATCATTTTTGTTGTTTGTTTTTTCTTTTTTCTTTTTCAATTACTTATTTAAATAATACAGGTTAGAGTTTTATTGGTATATCATATATTTTTCTTATTATGAGTCTTCCTGCTTTTATTCTTTTTTTTTACTAATTCCACTTTTGGCTCTGACAAAACAATTGTCTGATTATATTCAGGCAGCAGATTCAGAGGTAAATGCCCCAACAATAACTTTTTTCCTGTTTACTAAAATATAATGTATTTTGTTCTTTATGGTGCTATGTGGTGCTGATGATATCCAGTGTTTACCAATTTTTTTTTTTTTTTTTACGAAGTATTGTATTCACATATAGAGATGTGAGGCTTCTGCTCAATCTACATGTCTCTGACCTATCTCATTTCTTTTTCTAGAATCATACTGTCCCATGGATTTCTCCTGCTCTCACCTTTTCCCTTTTTTGCATTGAATTCATTAAATATCAGACTGCAGGTTGATTTGATCTAGAGTGTCTTAGCAAATTCTTTATAGAATTTCTTGACATCGTCAGAAACTAATGTTGGTATATAAACTAATTATATATAATATGTATGACATATATAATATATATGATATAAAATATATAATATATAATAATAATTGCAAACATTTAAAAATTGCAATACATGATGACGAAGTCTCCCAAGACATAATGTTGCCTCTCAGTTTTCAATACAATTCACTCTAGAAAGTCCTGTTTATTTCTTTTTTTTAGGAGTACCAGTGAGCCATCTTTCCATTTGGCTGCACATTTCTTCTGTTTTTATATATAGTGAGAATGCCAAGATTGATATGATTCAACTCTTATATATATGTATATATATATATATATATATATATATATATATATATATACACACACACACACACATATATATTCTTTACTCATTGGACCAGTCAAATTGAACGGTCAAATTGAAATGCATTGATGGTCTAAAAACTGTGTGATTCTTAACAACTTCTCCATCCTTTTTGGCCATTCTGTCACTGGCACTGGAGAAGCGGAAGGGGACTGCACAGGACTGAGAACCTTTTAAATTTCTCTTTGCTTCATAGATTGCCATGGCCAGCATGGCCAGCCTCCTGGGAATAGCTAGGCCTGTCTTTGGAAAGCAGAGGCTCTGTTACAGGTGCCTTGCTAGAAACCTTTTTAACTTGGCAGAACCCTCCAGTTCTTGTGCTCTGCTGGCATAGTGTTTGACTTTAACCCTGCACCCCAGTGCTGAACCCTAACCCTCAAATTAGAGGACCATGTAAAGGCCATTTTTTATAGCTTCTATATATGCTTATAAGTGTACATGTTGTGTCCTCTATTGGAAAGTAAGGTCTTTGAAGGCTTGAAAGTCTTTGAAAGAACTCTTTCACTAGTCTTTGTTTTCCCAACAAAGCACAGCCCCTGGCACATAATTGTGGTAAGTGCAGCTAGGTGGCGCTGCAGTGGATAGAGCTCTGGGCCTGGAGTCAGGAAGAGCTGAGTTCAAATTTGGCCTCAGACACTTACTAACTGTATGATCCTGGGCAAGTCACTTAGCCTTGTTTGCCTTACTTCCTCATCTGTATAATGAACTGGAAAAAGAAATGGCAAACCATTCCAGTATCTTTGCTAAGAAGACCCCAATGGGGTCACCAAGAGTCAGACAAGTGAAAAATAACTAAATAGCAACAACGTCACCAACAGCAAGTGTTTAATAAGTGTTTGTTGACCAATGCCATTATGAGGTTGTTTGAGGAAGATGTTAGTGGAGGAGGTTGACCCTTAACACAAAAAATTCTGGGTCACAGACAGTGGTGTCACAAAACGAATTAGAAACATTTCATCTTCTCTCATGGCTAGTGAGTTTAAACTGGCTAGAGGTGGGCTGTAATAGATTTCTTCATTTAAGAATATATTATGTAGGTTTTAATAACCGTGGAATTTTAAGGTAACAAAAACAGTTTGAATTTTCATATTTTTGAAAGCCTCCTCCGAGTACAAAACCTTAAATTTTACTCTAGATTCAGCTTCAATGGTAAGAAGGTTTTAACATGTATTTTTTTGAAGTCTGCTACACATAAGACCTCCCTAAACACTTTATAGTTAGAGTCAATAATAAGAAAAAGATAAAAGGCAGGTTTTAAGGTAAGATTCCAAGTGGCAAAGCGAGCTCAACATTCCAGGTGTTTGAGAGTGGATGAGGTACCCACCATGCTCAAGGCATCAAGAGTGTTGTTTTTGATCTTTGGGAGTCCAAAGGAGGCAGCCTCCACAGCTGCCTCTCACCCAAAGCCTTAGTGAAAAGCATAGAATCCCCTGAGCACAGGCCTTTAGGAGAACTCAGACATAATTTGTCTTTGGAAGAAAAGATTGTGATGCTCACACATGACATTTGCTTGATCCTCCTGTACCCCAAATCCCCAAAGTATTGCAAGTTAAAGTTCACTAAATAGAACTACCAGGATCTGAGATTTGCTATCCAACATTATCAGCTCTAGAGATTTCAGCCTTAACCTGTCAGAAGACTTTAAAAACCCCAAACCCCTAGAAAAGCTTTTTCTTCTTAGTATTTGCAGAATAGCAGTAAATGTGTGATGAGACACCCACTTTTCTTTTGCCTAATTACTTAGTGGCTTTTTCAGCTCCCTAGGTTGTCGTCTGCAGGGTACAGTAGGATAATAAAAAAGAATTCATCAGATTTGAAAGAAAAGCAAATTTGACAGTTACTCAAAAATTAGAATAAAATTTCTATCCAAGTTATTTTCATACCAGAAAAATATTTAGGGAGAACAAAGATGGAGGTGTTTTAAAATGCAAAATATGCTCTTCTTGGAAGAGAGGTAGAAAGGCTAATAGGGCTGAATGTTTCGTATGTTGTCAAATGGGGTGTTTGCGTATCAGGTTATTGTTGTTAAAATGGAGAGTTTCTTTTCTAGGGGAAGGGAAGTAAGAGGGCATGATTAGAAATCACTGTGATATTTAGAAAAAGTCCACAAAGCATCAATAAACCTTATTTAAAAAGAAAACAATACAAACTGGCTTGGGGAACTTGAGAGAACAATATAAAGAAATTATTTCATTGAACAGAATCTTGTTAATAAAAGAATTAAAAAACAGAAGCCCTTTTGAAACTTTTCAGACTCAGAAAGGAAAATGAAAAAAAATATTGCTTACTACTAGTAGAATTTGAAGGGTGCACGTAGACATTCCCAATGGACCCAATGCTCCACTCCCTAGAATCTTTTTTTACTATTCATGCTGTTTTTTTCCTAGGTGTGTCAAAATTGGGAAATAAATTATAGCTCTGACTACAACCTATGTGGAATTATTTTTATTGACTCTTTAGTGGTCTCTAGATTGACTACCATATCATCTTTTAAAAGCACTGATTTTGTTTCCTCTTTGCCTGTGTATATTTCCTAGATTTTTCCACCACTGCTGGGTCAAGGTTGGAGTCACTGGAAGAGGAAGGAGGTGAATCTAGAAGAGGTGCAGAGTTTGAAGTAGGTTTGTTGTTTAAACAAAAAAAACAACATGTGTCAGAAATTTGGACTGGATAGATCAATGGAATTGCCAGCATTAGGTTCAGGAAAAGGAGACAAGTCAGAAAGACCTCTGTTTCTGTCTTTCCTCCCATTGTGCCTATGTTAGGGTTGGCTATTCTGTATTTGACAGCTAAAGATGGTCAGCATGGGATAAGACATTTTTAAAGTATCCCAAATCAATCCTCATACCATTTGACCCCTCTTTAGATTTTGATATTGTCTTCTAAACCCTAAGTGTGCATGTTCCCCCAAGGCCCTGTCCTGTGCCCTCTTCTCTCTCTGCTTCTCTCCTTTGGTGATGTCATCAGCTCTCATGGGTTCAATAATCACCTCTATTTAGATGACTTCCAAATATATGTGAGCCATTGGCTGACCTAGAGTGATAGTGTGCGGGATGAATGTTTGGATTGGCCTAGGAAAATTGATCATGCCCCATGGTTCTTTTCTAAAATAGCAGAACTGTGCAAAGCTGGGAGAAATTCAATCCAGACACATTTTGACCTCAAGGACCAGGGCATAACATTTTACCACTTACTTTTGGTGGGGTAATCGGATTGATTTCCATAGTCAGCCCCACCCTTACAGTTCTATAAGGATGAACAAGTAAGATTCCCCTAAGTGGAGCATGAGAAGAGAGCATTCCATCTCCCTGGGACAGAGTGCTTGGGGATGGGGGTGGTGGTGAAGAGAGCACTTTGACTTTGGCCTCCTTCTGCCCCCCAAACTCCCCTAGCTGGAGGAGGACCTTGCAAGTTTCGAAGGGTCCACAGGATTTGGGGCTTCTCATTTTCCCAACAGCATCCTAGTATCATCCTGTGTTTGGCAGTTGTTTGTAGCAGTGTCTGCTTTGGGAGCCAAGGAAAGGTTGGATGCTGATGCTGAACAGAGAGCCTGGCAAAGAAGCCGGCGTTTGCCCAGGAGGAGCTTGTTGAACCCTTGTAAAGGGTGCAACCAGGAGCTGTAAGTTATGCCTTTGTCACATGTCTTCTCTAAGCTTGATCCCACTCTCCCCTCGACTCTACATGTACATATAGTACTACATACTCAGGGAGAGTATTTCACACACTTTTGGGGGGATATTTTGAATCAGTTATGCTACTTCAGTAAATCCCTTTCTAAAAGTCAGACTGACTAAATGTTTTCCAGTCAATGATCATGGTGGGAAGCACACAGATGGGTGCTTGAGACCTATACAGCATTAGAAAGACCCACTCTCCCCCCGTCTCCTGAGGGCTACTCTTATGTCTACATTTTGAGAAGACATAGCTAGCTCTTCTCCAGCGCCCACTTCATCAGGGCAAGCGAGAGTTGGGATAATCACTTCAGATCATGGGTCACCAAATTTTTATGAGAATGAATTGTGCAATTATAAAAAGTATCCTTGAAAATCTAAGAAGGAAACAGGTAGCAGTAACGTCATGGACTATGTTTAAAAATGACAAGAGGCCACGTAGTATTTTTTGTTTATTGATTGCAATAGAGGGTTCGACTTGATAGCGTGAAATGCAGCCTTAAAGACTCCAGTAAGGTAGGTCTCATGCATATGTTAATATCCTAAAAGATTCTCTAATAGATGTGATCACAGAAACAGCTTTGTTCCATTATCTTGGGATCATCAATGTCTATCAAGGCATTAACAGGGAGATGAACACTTGTCAAAGGCATTTGCTTGCTCTTGTTAGAGATAATGTCAGAAATGTAAACTGAAGAGCTATTTACCCATACTTGGGCAGTAATTCAGACGCTCTTGATTACATAGGACATTAGGCTAATGGCATCAATTCTCAGTGAGATCCCCAGCTATTCAAGAGAGAATGGCCTCCCATTCTTCCTAAGGGAAAAAACAATCAAGTAGATGAAGAATATATATTGATTGGGGAAATTATGCATCATTTTGAATAATCCCAAACTATGACCTGCTGCAAATGCCCATCTTTTTACTGTGAATAGTCTTCCAGATACACTGCAGTGGCTGGGAATCATGGAACACCACAGTCTTAGCAGGATAAAAATGGGAGGTGATGCAAAGGTCAATGGGAAGACACATGGTGGGTGTAAGTCAGTTGCAGCATCCTACTGACAATGGTCCTCTGTGGAGGAAGGATATGAACCGGAATTGAGACAGACAGTATGAGAAGGCCTGGATGGGGTGCCATCTGTATTTGCGAAGGAAGTGCCCATGCCGACGAGATTACAGATCCATTGATTAAAATAAGTTATTTGCCACCTTTTGCACATGCATCTTTGCATCTTAGTGCAAATTCATGAACTATGTTTCTAGGGGAGTGTTTTAGAGAGATTAGTAGTTCCTTTTTTACCAAAAGTACTAAGAGATGGTTACAACCTGTAATTACGATATAACAATGTTAATAGAACATCATATCAGAATGTATCTTTAGTAAAAAGTGACAGGTGCATATCATATCATACATATCATGCAAATGATATGTATAGTCATGGATAATTATTCGAAGCTGACAATATAACTGTCACATTGGATATAGTTAGGGGGAACAGAAAACTTTAGTCATAATTATCATTCATAATTATTAATTTTCATTTAAATAAAATATACAGTTAAACTCAGAACAATTAGCAGATCATAAAAGAGAAAAATACATTGCTTTTAGCAGAATGGAAGACATAAAAAGGAAGTGAATCATAGCACAGAGCTGTAATCTGTGCTACCAAAAGGATAGAATTTTTAATACACTAAAGCATTTTAATGGTGTATTTTTTAGCTAATCTCAAAAGTCGACATTTGACTTCATGGCTGCTAGTAAAAGGGTTTATAGTGAAATCTCTAGGATCTGTCATACTTCAGCCTGAAGAAATGAAAGATTTGATGTCTTTAAGAATTCATTTAAAAATAGATTGTTTTAAAGAGAAACAAAGGCATATTTCACCATCTTCAATGCAAATGAACAAATGAGCACAAGTTCCTTTCAGAGTCAGAGCAGTGCAAACTCAATCAGTGCATTTGGATCTCATTATCATGCTTCAATAAACCAGGTGGCCATAATTTCATTGGTGTGGCATGGCACTGGAGTATGGCTCCTTGATCACTTCATGGATGGTGTCTGAAAGTTGCTGTGGCCAAAATAGGCCTCCCTCTGCAGGTCACCTGGTGACAGGCCTCTCTAGACTTAGTGAGGTTGGCTGTCAGAGAAAGGGTGTTCATTCTGTCCCTGGTGCCATTCAGGATGCCGCTCCAGCTTGGTCAGCGGTGCCGCAACTGGGATTGTACCTGAAGGCCAGGCTGTCAGCGATTCACTGGGATCTCTGTGCCCTGGTTCACTGTGTCATCTGTGGCACGGTGACTTGCATAAGCTGGCATTTGCTTTAGCCAGTCTGTTCCACAGTTGGTCACTGTGGGTGATACAAGGATGTAAATAAAAATTAAATTCTAAAACAAATACATTTAAATAGGGTGGGCAACATAATGTTGTATAACGTCTGTTGAGTTTTGAGGCCCAAGGACATGGGTTCAAATCCTGTCTCTGCTACTTAATAGCTGTGCAACATCACTGAACCTCAGGTTCATATATATGACATGGAGCTAACATTTGCACTACCAGCCAAGAGGGTTGATGAGAAGAAAGTGCTTTGTCGAGCCTGCAGTGCTCATGAAGTGGGGATTTCTTAACATTGGCTCATGCTGAATTTGAGCTATCGTGTTCAATTCTGGGTATCACGTTTTAGGGAGGTCATTGATAAGTTTGAAAACAATCAGGAAAAGGATAACCAGAAGGGGACCAGGCCATAGGCAAGGATCAGCTGAAGGAACTGGAAAAGGGAAGACATGATGGGGGTGGGGTGAGCAGGTATTTGAAGGGCTGGCACATGACTTATCTGCTTGGCTCCAGAGGGCAGAACTTGAGGCAACTATAGGCATTGGGTAAGGAAAAAACAATCTTTCCCACAGTTATAGCAATTGCAACATGGAAGTGGCGGCTTCTACGTCACTGTAGGTATTTAGGTAACCATTTGTGAGGTTATGTTAGAAGGAGGATTCTTACTTCGGGTTGGACTGGATGACCCCTGAAGTCTCTTCCAACAATTTCTCTGAAATTGGACAGAACCATTTATTTAAATCTATGAATAATTGCATTCATACTTAGGGATGGTTTCATTATCAACCAATTGCAATCAACTGGCAGGAAGATCCAGGAGTATCCTCCGGGCCCAATGTCCCTGGACTTAGACCCTCTGCAGTCAACATATGGAAAAAGGCATTCAATGTCAGGCAGAGGAGCTTGTATTTTATTCTGGAGGCAATAGGGAGCCACTGCATATTCCTGAAAGAAATCAGAGAGAGGAGAGATGAGAACCTGGTTAGAGCTTTAGGGCCCATGGTTGGAGGGAAGAATACACATGATGATCTAAGGAAGGAAGTGTGCAGTAGTGGATAGAGAGCCAGAAAGGGGAATCACAAAGACCTGGCCTCAGTTCCCACCTCATGCACTAGCTGTGCAGCCTCAGGCAAGTCACTTTACTGCTCAGTGACTCAGTTTCCTCATCTTGAAAATGGGGTTAATATTAACTCTAGCACTTACCTCACAGGATTCTCTTGAGGACCAAATGAAGTAATGTGTGTAAAGCACTTTGCAAATCCTAAAAGTCAGTATAAATGTAGGTGGTTGTCATCATCACCACTACCACCACCTCTGTCATCCAGCGATTGAGACCAAGAAGGAGGAGGCCTACAGGTAGGAGGAAAACCAGGAGAGATCATTGTTATGAAAGCACAGAGATTTTCAGAAGGAGGGGGAAAACAGTGCCAAAGATAGCAGAGAAGTTGAGAAGGATGAGGCCCGGCAATGGGCCAGAAGGTTTAGCAATTCAAAGATGACACAAATGTGACTTCTTATCAGTGCTCTGTGGTTTGCAAGATATCTCCATTATCTCATTTGAGTCTCATAACCACCCTGTGAAGCGGGAGGTATTATCCTCGTTTTACAGATGAGGAAACTGAGGTTCAGAGAAGTTGTGGTTTTCTTCAGGTGACACAGCTGGAAAGTATCCTGCAATCTTTCACATGCTACACTGTTTCTAGCTGGGTGGTGATGGTGGAGTGGCAGTGCCACAGCAAAGCTGTGAATGCTGAAGCTGGTTGTGTCGGTGGCTTGGGCTCCAAATAAACTTCTTTGGCCCAGTCTTGCCATATGCCGAAGGTGAGAGGCCTTTGTGCATCTCGCTCTGTCAGTCGCTCCATGAGCATTTATTAAGCTTCTATCTTGTGCTGGATGCAGGGCTAAGTACTGGAGAGAGAAAGGAAAAATGCCTCCCCTTTCCTCAAGAAGATTGCATTCTATCAGAGAAAACAACACATATACACAGTAGATAGAACATATATAAAAGTAGATGTAAAATCCATAATGAATGAATTTTTTTAAAAAAAGCATTTATCAAGTGCTTACTATGTACCAAATATTGTGTCAAGTATCACGGATGCAAATTTAAAAGTGAGATAATTGTTGATTTCTAGAAGCTTACATGAGGGAGGGGGGAGAGAACATTACTTTTAGGAGAGTGGTAGCCAGGGAGGAGGTGTTTTGTTTTGACAAACTAAGGGGATGGTGAGTGGTGGAGCTATAAGGGAATTGATTGATAGAGTCTTTCCATTAGCAAAAATAGTACTGAATGATTTAATGATCATCCCAGAGCTGGAAGGCGGAGGAGGGTATATGGTCCCCTTATGGCAGGGTGAATGGTGAGGTCCAGTGGCCTGGAGAGTGCAGTGGTAAGTGAGATGGATGGCAATAAAATGCCCAGAGGACCATGTTAATCATGGCTGGGGTCAGTCAGATACAATGGACCCTATGTTGCATTCACCAGTCAGGATGGCCTAGATGTTCCAGTACTGAGCATGTTAGGTCTCTCAAGAGGGATTGGTGGCAGGGCAAATGGGAAGGCCCAGTGATTCATTGGTGGAGTTGTAGGCAGGGCATGAGCCACTTCTGGCTGGGGGTGGGGAGTCAGGAAAGGTCCCTCCAATGGGAGGTAGCACTTGAGGTGATATTTGAAGGAAGGAATTGAAGGTAGGAATTCCAGGACTAAGAAGTACATTCCATGCATGGGGAGAGCACGACAAGAAATGGAATACCGTGTGTGAGAAACAGCAAGGAACTAAATTCAGCTGGACTATAGTGTGTGAAGGGCAGCTGGATGGTGCAGTGGATAGCTTGCCGGCTTTGGAGTCAGGAGGATATGAGTTCAAATCCAGCCTCAGACACTTACTAGAACTGTAACACTGGGCAAATCAATCTTGTTTGCCTCAGTTTCCTCATGTCTCAAATGAGCTGGAGAAGGTAATGGCCAACCACTCTAGTATCTTTGTCAAGAAGCCCCACGTGGGGTCACGGAGAGTTGGACGTGACTGAAATAACTCAACAGCAACAAATGGTGTATGAGGAAGGAAAGAAATGGTGGTTCCGAAAGGCTTTAAATCCTAACACAGAAGGTTCCCAAATTCGATATCCTTGAAGGATCCCAAGAAGCAGGTATGGAGGCCCATGGGATGAGAATCAGATCTTCACAAGGTTCTTGTTCATCTCCTTAGGCAAATGTGTTTTTTTTTTTTCTCTTGGAATTCCTTCCTGGCTTTCATATTACATAAACGGGTTTTATTTCCTGATCAATATATGGAAGGTCTATTGGACATCTGAGTTTTTTTCATAAATGCTTCACTTCTCAAAGGCCCATAGCCCCTTCATTTGTTTAAATCAGGGGATTAGGCTTCTCATGATAGTACTTGGATGGGTGAGATTCTCAAACAGATCATTTTTCCCATCTGCTTCAAATGAGTCTTTTGGAAAGACTGCCAAGCTGGACAATTGTCCTTGTCAAAGATTTGCACACCCACATATTTGGCCCAGGAAGTTCACTCTTTGCTCTGCTTAGACTTTATTCGTAGAGGCCATATTTGTAATGCATAATGGCAAAATAAGCATTTGCATAAAATTAAGCATCAACGGCCGAATTACCAACATAAAAGAGTTGTATTTTCTGTAAAATTTTCATGACTCTGGCATTCCTAAGCTATGGCCTCATAAAAATTGTGGCTTTATTATGACATCATAAACTATAATATAACATTAGCCCTTGATAGGGGATTTAACATTAATTATTCTGTATTGCTTTTCAATGTTGTGTTTACTTGAAAAGAATAGTAAAGTCAGCATCTAAAGCATGTTAAATCTCCCACTCTTGGTTGTCTTAATATTTCGTTATCATTTTCTTTTTCTTTATGCAATTCTTCCATTCCCCCTCCCACACAAAGCTTTCAGAAGCCACTCTACTTACTGACCATTTTCCACATTGCCTGTCTTCGTTCAAGATCATGGTGACAGGAGGCATTCAAACAGTGAACGTGATATGTTCAGATTTTCTCATGATGACGTGTTAAAATTGGAATGTTATAAAAATTAATTAGTCAGGACTCATACTGGAAAGCCATTTATCTGTTTGTTGAAAGCTAAAAGGAAGAACCTTCTTTGCTATTTCTTTTTGATTGGCCACATACAGTAATTATGTGCTCCCAAAACAAACATGGACTGTGAAACACCAGACTTTCTTTCTGTTCCAGAAGTAATGGAGATCTAACGCATGTGCACACTCCATGCAACCTTCCCATTTGGAGGATGCTAGGGAACCTGCTCCTGGGAGAGTTGGGATCACGTTCAAGGGAAATGCCTTGGGAATACCATGTAGTATGTATAGGTATTCCATAAGTGATTCCGTTTGGCCAACTATGTCTTGAAGGGGAGGCTTTCTGTTGGACTTTAGAGGTATTCAGAAAGACCTGCCAGCATTAGCCACTGCCTCTTTTGCCATAGTTGCTCTTGAGGGATCTCAGAGACTTTTTTTTTTTTGTTCATAGCATTTGGGGAGAGACCATGCTGTAAAGAGAAAGGTCTTTGAAACCACATAGCTCCAAAAAGAGGCCTCAGTACTTGAGCTTTGTGTTCACTTTTTTTCTGTTCTAGGAGAAGGGAGTGGGGTCTTTGACCTTGTGACTGTGGGCAGTGAGAGAGGGAGCAGGGGGCACCTTGGGGGAAAGTAGATGAACCTGGTCTAAATTAAGCAACTAATACAACTTGTGTATTCAAAAAACTTTAAAATTCAGTTTTATTTTCAGTTCTGATCTATCTCCCTCCTTCTTCCCCCTCCCACTCATCGAGAAGCTCATTACAAATATGTCCAGTCATACAGAACAAATTCCCAAATCAGCCATGTTCCCCTCCCCCCGCAAAAAAGGATAGGAAAAGAAATATGCTTTAATCTTTACTCAAGTACATCAGCTCTATCTGGAGGTGGAGAGCATGTTTCATTGAAATTGCGGTTGGTCATCGTGTTAAAAGTTCCTAAGTCTTTCAAAGTTGATTGTCTTTACAATTCTGTTATTATTGCATAACTTGGTCTCCTGGTTCTGCTCACTTCACTTTGCATCAGTTCATAGATGTCTTCTTGGGTTTTTCTGAAACCATTCCCTTCATCATTTCTTAGATTCTTAGGGACCACAATAGTATTCCATCACATTCATAATCACATTCATATACTATACCTTGTTCAGCTCTTCCTCTCAGTTTCCAATTCTTTGCTACTACAAAAAGAGCTGCTGTATGTATGTATGTATGTGTATACATACATATATATATATACATACACATATACATATATATTAAACATATGGGTCCTTTTCCTCTTTTTTTGATCTCTTTCAGGTTCAGACCTAGTAGCAAAATTGCTGGGTCAAAGGGTATATACAGTTTAATAGCTTTTTGGGCATCCTTTCAAATCACTATACAGTATGGTTGGACCAATTCACAGCTCTACTCACAGTTCATTAAAAGTGCCTAGAGTTCATTAAGGTTTTCCCACGGCCTCTCTAACACTTGTAATTTCCTTTTTCCCTCAACATTGCCAACCTGATAGGGTAAGATGGTGCCTGAGTTATTTTAATTTAACTTAGTGATGAGAGAGCACTTTTTCATATGGCTATTGATAGCTTGGATATCTTCCTCTGAAAACTACCTATTCATGTCCTTTGACCACTTATCACTTGGGGAATGGCTCTTATTTTTATAAATTTAAGTTAGTTCCCTGTATATCTCAGAAATAAGACTTATCAGAGAAATTTGTTCCAGATTTATTTCCAGTTTCCAAGTTCTCTACTAATTTTAATGGAATTGGTTTTAGTTGTGCAAGAACTTTTTAATTTTTTACAATTAAAAATATCCATTTTACCTCCTTTGAGCCCTTCTACCTCTTGTTTGGTCATGAACTCTTCCCCTATCCAGACATCTGAAAGGTAATTACTTCCACATTCCTCGAATTTGCTTATGCTTTATCTGTCTAAATCATGTACCCATTTTGAGCTTCTCTTAGTATATGGTGTTACTGTTGGTCTATATGTAGTTTCTGCCAGATTATTTTCCTGTTTTCCCAGCAGTTTTTGTTGAATAGTAAGTTCGTGGCCAAGTAGCTTAGATCATTAGGTTTATCAGCCACTGGGTTGCTGTGCTTGTTTGCTTCTGTATATTGTGTGCCTAACCTGTTCTACTGATTAGCCTCTCAATTTCTTACTCAGTACCAGATTTTGATGAATACGGCTTTGTAGTATAGTTTATTTCAGATCTGATACTGCCTGGTTTTCTTCCCATTTTTTTTTCATTGATTCTCTTATGATTCTCGACCCTTTGTTCTTCCAGCTGAATGTCTAAAGTAATCCTTTGGTAGTTAGTATGGTACTGAATGAGGGAATGAATCTAGGTAGTATTATTTATATGACCTTGGCCTATTCATGAACAGTTGAAGTTTCTCCAGTTATTTAGCTCCGCCTTTATTTGTGTAGCGTTTTGTAATTGTGTTCATATAGTTCTTGTGTGTGTCTGGGCAGGTAGACTAAGTATTTTATATTGTTGGTAATTATTTTGAATAGAATTTCTCTTTCTATCTCTTCCTGCTGCATTTACTGGTAATTTATAGAAAAGCTAATGATTTGTGTGGGTTCATTCTATATGCTGCAACTTTGTCAAAGTTGTTAATTTTTGGATTGTTTTATTTGACTCTCTAGGGGTCTCTAAGTTAACCATTGTATCATATGGACAAAGTCATATAATCCTGTTTCCTCTTTGCCTATGCTTATTCCTTCAAAATTTTTCTTGTCTTATTGGTACAGGCAGCACTTCTAGCACAATATTGAATAGTAATGATGATAATGGACATCTTGCTTCACTCCTGATATTATTAGAAAGGCCTCTAAGCTTGTTCCTATTACACTTAATGCTGGTCTTGGTATTTAGATGCATACTACTTACCACTTTAGAGAAAGCTCCATTTATTCCTGTGATTTCTAGTGTGGCTTTTTTTTTTTTTAAACAGGAATGGGTGTTATATCTTATAAAAATTTTTTTATTCCTCTATTGAAATATTCATGATTTTTGTAGACTTGTTATTAATATGGTCCATTATGCTAATAGTTTCCCTAATGTTGATTCAGTCTTGCATTCCTGGTATAAATCCAGCCTGTTCTTTGTGATATACTGCTGTAGTCTCTATGCTAGTATTTTATTGAAGATTTATGCATCGATATTCATTAGGGAAATCATTCTATAGCTTTCTTTTTCTGTTTTGACTCTCCCTGCTTTAGGTATCAAGACCATATCTGTGTCATAAAAGGAATTTGGTAAGACTCCTTTTCCTATATTTTTTTTGAAGAGTGAAATATTGGGATTAATTGCTGTTTAAATGTTTTGTAGAATTTGCTTGCAAAACCATCTGGTCCTGTTTTTCTTTGGGAGTTCCTTCATGGTTTGTTCAATTTCTTTTTCTAAGATATGGTTATTTAAGTATTCTATTTCCTGTTCTGCTAATTTATATTTTTCAAAAAATCAAATTACCTAATGTCTCATCTATTTTATTGTGTTAAAAAAAACAGCTCCGGGTTTTATTTATTAGTTGATTTTTTTTTTTACATTCAGTTTTGTTAGTTTCTCCTTTCGTCTTCAAGATTACTGTTTTGGTACTTAATTGGGGGTGGTTAATCTATTGGCTTTCTTGTTTTGTTTTGTTTTGTTTTTTTAGTTGCATGCTCAGTTCGTTGATTTGCTCTTTTATTGATGAAAGTCTTTAGAGATGTAAATTTTCTCCTAAGTACTGTTTTGACTGCATCCCACAAATTTTGGTATGTTGTCACATTCTTGTCATTATCTTTAATGAAATTGTTGATTGTTTCTATGATTTGGTCTTCACCCATCTTTATTTTAGGATTAAGTCATTTAGTTTCTAATTAATTTTTAACCTTTGCTTTAAAGGCCCTTTATTTATTTATATGTATTTCTTTTACATTATGGTCAGAAAAAGATGCATTTGATATTTCTGCTTTTCTGCATTTGTTTGCAAGGTTTTATGCCCTAATACATGGTCAATTTTTCTGAAGGTGCCTTGCACAGTTGACAAATAGGTACATTCTTTTCTATCTACCTTATTATTCTCCAGAAGTCTATCATATTTAACTTATCTAAATTTCTATTCAGGTCCTTAACTTTTTTTTCATTTTTGGGGGTTACATTTATCTAGGTCTGAGAGGGGTAACTTGAGGTCCTTCATTAGTATAGTTTTACTATTACCTCCCATCTAACTTTTCTTTTAAGAATTTAGATGCCATACTATTTGGTACATATATATTTAGTACTGATAGTAATTTTATAGGGCAGCTAGGTGGCACAGTGGATAGAGTGCTGGACCTGGAGTCAGCAAGACTCATCTTCCTGAGTTCAAATCTGGCCTCAGACATTTCCTAGCTGTGTGACCCTGAGCAAGTCACCTAACTCTGTTCGCCTCAACTTTCTCCTCTGTAAAATGAGCTGGAGAAGAAAATGGCAAACCACTCCAGTATTTTGGCCAAGAAAACCCCAAATAGAGTCATGAAGAGTTGGATGCAACTGAAACAATTGAACAAGAACAACAAATTGATAGTAATTTAATAATAATTGACATTCATTTAGCATATTTTATTGATATTAACTAAAGGTAGGAGGGCATACAAATGTTTATTGAATTGGAACACAAATATCACACATTTCAATGGTGGTGGTAAGAATGTGTTGAACCAATAGGGGAAAAAATGTAGATGTGTGCAAAAAAGTGACTAAACATGGCCACAGCCCTTGTCCCAGAAATTTCAGTGATATGCACATGTCCCCAGTGACATTAGAGACAGAAAGACAGTTTCCATCAACACTAAAATGTTCAGTATTCACAGAGATACTTTTTTGTGGTAGCAAAGAACTGGGACCAAAGTGAGTGGGCATGGCCTGGCAAATGCGAAAAAAAAATTGTGGTATTTGAGTGATAGAATGTTATTGTTACATGAGAAACAAATAACAACTTGAACAACTTAAATTGCTGTAGAAATATTTATAGTGTAGGCCATGCCAATATCACAAAAATTACTACTACTAAAATTAATTTATAGTTTTAATGTTATGCCAATCAATCTACCCATGGGATATTTTATGAATTTAGGTAAAATAATAAAATTCATTTGGAGCAAAACAAGATGTTGAATATCAAGGGAAATAAAGGCAGGGAGAATAGCACTTCCAAGCCTCAAAACTATATTATAAATTGGTAATCATTAAAAACATTTCGTACTGATTAAAAATAGAAAAGTAGATCAATGGAACAGTCTAGACAAGGGAAATTAGAAATAATTGAACTTAACTCAGTGTTTGCTATCCCTGGAAATATAAATTGCTTAGGAAAGAATTCCCCTATTTAATTAAAAGTTATGTGGAAACTGAAAAGCAGCCTGGCAGAAATTAGGCTTAGCCCCACATTTGGGTTGGATTTGTAGTAAGGAAGCCCCAAATTCTAACTCAGATACTTATTAGCTATGTGACCTTGGGCAAGTCACTTAACCTCTGCCTCAGTTTCTCCATCTGTAAAATGGAACGAATAACAGCACCTACTTCTCAGGGCTGTGAGGATCAACTGAAATGTTTGTATCCTCAGCATTTAGCAGAAAGCTCTTTACAAAGGCCAAAAAAAAAAAAGATCCTTTTACATTAGATGCTATAAGTCTTCCCATGCCAGAAATTGGAACCAAGCCCCCTGGCCTCCAGTTTGCATGCTACATTTTCTTCCCTTAACACAACTGTACCCCGTTTGCCCCTCTCCAGTATTTTTCGGTGATCACTGAGAGCGGCTCACCAAACAAAGCATTTGAGTACCCCGGGATGGCTATGGTTCATCTTTGCATGGTAATTTGAACTCATCAAGAGCGGCTAGATGTTCTCTGGCTAGTTCCTACTTAACGTGGATTTGGATCTTCAATTAGTAATTTTTCTTTTGTCCTTTTTCCAAAGTCCATTATTTTTCGGTAGGTGGCCTTGGCACATGCTGGGCTGTTCTTAACACTTCTGGAACTCTCAGAGGACCATGATATGCTTTTTACTTCATCCTCCCTCCATTCATCATTCATATGTTGTTTTTTAACCCTTAGTTGGTCAGTAAGTTCTATGTGGATTCCTATTGGTCTCTTGAAAGAACTCTTCCTTTTCCTAGTCACAGGAGTTGTTTCTCTTTGTTTTGAGGAGTTTTTCATTTGTCCTGGGCTGACTTGTACAATGTTTGTCCATGGGGTACCAGCTGTTCTTTATCTGGATGCTTTAAGATGTGTTCTCCCTAAATCTAGGGAGCATGTACACATTGTCTGGCCATCTACTCCTGTACCCCAAGTTAAGATGAAATAGTTACTCCCCCCTCAAGTTCCTCCTTTTTGGGTGGAATTCAAGATTAGCAGCCTCCTTATTTGATTTTCAGCCTTTTAAATGATGAAATCAGGAGGTGTGATAGAAGTAATTGGCTGAGCAAAGTGTATTATCGGGGGGCACCAGAGAGGAGGGAGTATCAGGAATGGGCAAATGCTACCACAGTGTTAGAAGTGAATTTAGAGTTTTAGGGTAATGTCCTTTTAGGGTAACGTCGCTTTCCTCCCCTTGATAGTTCTGGATCACATTCTTCCCCCCTTTTTTTTAATTGCAGATGATCGTGGTGGTAGCATCTTGTCTGTTTTGCTTCTTAAGAATGTGTGAATGTTATCATCACATCAGTCATGTCGTCCATTGGTCAGTTGCCATTGCTTTCCATTCCTCTCCAGTTAGCGGTGAAGGATTCCTTGAGGTCATGTTCCTATGTGTTTGTGGGGGTCAGTGCCCTTCTTTCGGCTTACTGTTTTCTGACACTGTTTTAAATCTCCTAAGTCCCTTGGCACTCTAAGCAGCTCACCTGCTGTAGTCATAGCTTAGAGGCCATTTTAGAAAGCCTCTCAGGAGGGTTGGGCTTACACTGGTTAGCTTATTTTCACCCCATTTTGTTGAGCTTGCAGATGATACTGATTTACCCCTTTGCTTTATTTACCAAAGCTAGTTTCTGTCACTGTGCCCTAAATGCACAAATACCGCCATCACTCCCTCTTCATACAGATTGTCCAGATTGATTTTCCATTTTTCCTTATCTTGTCTTTGGGGGCTTTGCACAAAATCTGTATCCCCTTGGCAATGAACAGTACATCCGATTTGTCATCATGCCTGGATCTTAGAGGAGAATTTTACTATTTGCAAGCCTGCAATTGAAGCTAAACCGGCCAGGTAATATGGTTTGGTCATTTATGAACTCCTGGCATTTGCATCTTACCTCCACGGTATCACATTGGGCCCATCGGGTTTGCTACACTCCTTCCTTCCAGCACCTGTTATTGTCCAAAAGTGAGCTCATCTAAAAATCTGTTTTGCTACACTGGCTCACACCTTGTGGACCTATCCAGTGTTTGACCCGATTAAAAAACAAAACATAAAAATATGAAGATAGAATCAATCAATAAGCATTTATTAAGCACTCTGTGGGCAGCACGGTGCAAAGCACTGGGGATAGAAAGCAATAGCAAAAAATGGTACCTGCCCTCAAGTGCTTTGTGTTACAATTGGGGAGACAACATGTCGAAATCGAAATGAACGCTAAAAGTGGTGTCTTCTGCTCCTCTCCTCCCCTACTGCCATTGGACTGATTGGATCACTCCTGTGACTCCCATTAGGTTTTGTTTTTTATATCATTCTAGTTTTCCCCTCCTATGCAACAAATACTTATTTTTAAAGATAAAAAGAAAAATCAGTTCAACTGATGAAATACATCAAAAAGTCCAAAAAATATGTGTAACACCTGTAAAGAGGTGGGGTAAGGGTATCCTCTCATATCTGTTCTTTTGAGCCATACTTGTTCTTTATAATTTTCCCATATTCACTTTTGGTTTTTGATATGTAGTTGTTCTTTCCACTTATATTGTTGTAGTCATTGTGTGTATTACTTACTTCACTCTGCATCAGTTCACGTAGATCTTTCAATGCTTCTCTGTATTTAATCACATTCATCATTTTTACATCACAGCAATATTCTGTTACATTCGTGTACTAACACTTGTTTAGCCATTCCCCAGTTGATGGGCATCTACTTTGTTTCCACTTATTTACTATCACAAAACATACTGCTATAAATGTTTTGGTATATATGGGAACTTTGTTCTTAGCAGTGGTTTCCTTGGGGATATAAGCCTAGTAATAGTATCTCCGGGTGAAAGGGTATGGACATTTTAGTTACTTAATTGCTTTCCAAAGTGGTTGTACCAATTCATAGCCTCACCAAAATGCATCCGTATCTATCATAGCCTGTCCAACATTAACTAGTTCCATTTTTTGTTATCCCTGTCAATTTGCAGGGTGTAAAGTGATTTACATTTCTCTATTATTAGTTTGAAATCTCTCTTTTGAGAACTGTTTGTACCTACATTTTTACCACTTATCTATTGGGGAATGGCTCCTGGTCACGTAGTATAGTGTGTGTGTGTATATGTGTGTATATATGTATATAAATATATATATGTGTGTATATATGTGTATGCATATACATACACATACATAAACGCATATGTTTATATATGTCTAAGCCTACTTTCTGCCTGATTGCTTTCCAGTTTTCACGTTTTTTTTGATGACATAGGGAATTCTTTCCCAAATAATTTGTATTTTTCAGGACCCTCCTGTCCCATCTCCATTGCAACTTCCACAATCTTAGTGACCAATCAGGAACCTGGGATTTTTAGTGAAGAGGAGCTGATAAGTTTGAGAACAGCTTATTGGGTATGTCTGGGGTCTGGGCTCCCACCTTGGAGAAATCCTGCTACTTTGACTACTCAGCTGACTGGCCACAGTTGGATTGGCTAAAAATTGGAGCCAAACCCTTTGGGATGAGGTTTGCTTTGTCTTCCAGTTAGGTCAAATGTAATTTTTTCTTCTTTTGCTCTTCCTGGAGCTAGCATTTCTGGAAATATATCAAATCATAGTGTCAACAAAGATTTCCTTGCATATGCCCATGACGGATGACGCTCTTTGTGTAACTGACAGAATTATAGTCTTCTTTCTGTGTTTTTGTAAAATAGTCAGTCCCAGCAGTACTAGGAGCTGGCTTTGTACTCTGCAGAAATGGTGGCTGACTCTGGATCCAGCATATCAGCACTCTGAGCCTCAGTTTCTTTATCTCTAAAATGGGGGCATTTAATAAGCCATTAACTTATTGTGAAGTTATACTTACAATACACTGTACAAATGACTAAGCTGGCTCTTTGTTCCTACCCTATGTGGCTCCTCACAAGGTTTTCCATCTACTTCTTTTCCCCTCCTGCTGAAGACCATTCTTAGGTACGGATTCAGGCCAGTCTTTGCTGGCTTCCTTTTTCATTACCTTGGCACCTGAACAGCTGGACTGAATCGTTCGACAAACCGAACTGTGACAGGTAAGTTCTGCAACCAATTCTTTCACTTTTTTTGGGGGGGGGTAACAGCTCCCACATCCCTGGAGAGCAAGAGACACTGACCCCCCGTCCCGTAGTCTTATAGTTCAGAGTTGGACACATGAGCCTTGGCTAAAAGCTCTGCCTTTATAGTTCTAGGACAATTAAGTGGAATCTACACTTGGAGGGTTTAGGTCACCTCTAACCGTAGTTTTGAAGTCACTAGGTTTTGGATTGACTTAAGACCTGAACACTTTTAAACAAAGATTTATTCTTAGAATCCCAGGTATGTAAAGCCCTAGATTTATACTCATAGTTCATAGCTAGTAAGTACTTAGGGCCTAGCACTACACTAGGACACCTCAATGACTTGGAGGCCATTTACCCCCAACAGTAAGTTCTTCCCACCAGTAAGTGAAATCTCTGAAAAAGACCTCAAGACTGAGTGCTCTTCCTGGATTTCCTTTTCATTCTCGTATCACATCAGTCCTTTTGTTCCTCTCTAGTTAAGTATCCCCACTCACCATAGAGGATTTTCACCACCTTGAGCTCCCTGTCTCCTCTCACATCATTAAGCTATCTGTAGCTAGTGCCTCCACTCCCAATTTGTTTCTGACCTCTCCTTTGCTGGCTGTCCCACATGGCTCGCTCCTCAGCTTCCATGGACTAGATTACCTCTGTGCTAATGGTTCTCCAATCCTTTAGCCCTAACCTCCAGTCTCACTTCTTTCTGATTACTGGGGAGGGTACCTCAATTCCTTATTCTCACTTCCTTCCTCAGAAGAGAAGAGCCTGCAGCTGCTTCCATCAGCCCCAGTCTCCTGGGCACTGCTTTCCGGCTCTAGCCACACTTTCTCTCATTCCTCGGACTCACTGGTTAAAGTTGAGGAGTTTGAATACTCCCTGGTCCCTGTTGCCACCATCGTTGCCTAATCTTTCACCCAAACCTAGGAGTTGCTGTCTGTTGCCCTCCAGAATCCTCCCCTTCTTTCTGTGGTGTATGGCTCCCAGTCTAGGAGACTTCAATGTACAATAGATACTCCCTCAAACATCCTAACATCCTGCTGCCTCAACTTACTCCTTTCCCCTGACCCACCTTAGCTTTTAATCATCTGCTGCTGAAAGGAGGAGAACCCTCACCAAGCTCCACTCACTGGGTCCACTACGAATTTATGCTACATAAATTCTCATTGTGCTCAGTGCCTTCTCCAGCTCATCTCACTCTCCACAGCAGCTCTTGCAAAGCTTTTTGTGGCTCCTCGTAGCAAAGAATCTTGCCTTGAATTTCACTTTTAAAAATTCAGGCCATTTGCTGAGAGCTCCCTCATCGTATATCACCCGGACACCATCTTGATACCTCCTTACTGCCCACAAACATGGCCACGTTTCCCCTGGCCTCAAAACGTCTCACGTGACTTGTCCCTTACCTCTCCTCCCACTCTTCATAATGGCCAAGTCGAACTTTCTCAGTCTCCCTCCCAGGTCGTCTTAGAGCTTCTCCCTCTAGGCTATTTCACTTGGTGATCTCATCGGCTTCTGTGGGTTCAGTTATCTCTCTGCTGACCTCCAGACTTCCCTATTACTGTGGAGGGTGCTCGCATCCTAAGTGTCATCCGCCCTCTCAGCCACCAAATTCCACCTTTGCAACAATGCTCATTTATGGCCTCCCACCTCCCCTGGATTGCTGCAGGTTGGACTGCCTGTCCCAAATCTCTCTCCCCCCTCCAAAGTGATCTGACCATTCAGCCACTCTACCCAGTTAACTCCAGGGTATATCGCCTTCAGGAACAAATACAAAACCCTGCAATACAGTGACATCGGCCTACTTGCAGTTTTCTGGCTGCTCACCCTTCCTCACCCATCAGCCCTAGTGCCTTCCTTCTGTGTACCTGCCTTGGTTGTACAGAGCTGTTTTCAGGTTGTCTCCTCCATTTGATGGAGAGCCCCTTGAGGGCAAGGACTTTGTATTCCCAGTACCCAGGAGGTACAGAGTCAATCTTTACTGAGTGACCAGAGGACTAGATCTGGAAGACTTTCTGCCTCTGGGAATAGAAATGCAAGCCTTTGCTTAAATCCCCAAGTTGCTGGATTTATGTCCCTAGGTTTGCGAGAATTCTCCTTTCAGACCTAGAGAATTCTCCTTTCAGACCTAACGGTGTAAAGCTCAACTTACAGATATAAACTGACTGATCTCAGTTTCTAAGTCACAAATGTAAGGATTTCCTTGCCAACGACCCCAAAGTTGAAAGTTGTTTTATTCCCCCCACCCACCCCTTTTTTCCTGAGAGACCCAGACTGAGTGCCTTGATTTCCTCTTCTCTGTACTCCCTTGTCCTGGCCATTTTCTTACTCTTACCCATGACTGCCTTTGCTACTACAGGAAAAAGTCACCTACCTGAGCCCTCCCTCTGCAGCCCAGAAATCCTTTTCCACTCCCTCTTGGCTATTGACTCCATCCCATCTTCTCCAGCAGATGGTGCTATCTGAACACGCCTTCCTGAACCCTCCATTTCATTTGCTAAGGTCCTTGGCTACCATGAATTTAATTATCTCTATGCTTATGACTCCCAGCCTACATTCCACCATCTTCAACTCACCCTTGTCCAAAACGAAGCTTATTTTCTTCTCTCCTCTTTCTAACTCTCCTATTGCTGTGGAAAGTCCCACCATCAGCACACTCTCTCATTCTCCCTTTCCCATCAAAAATCAGTTTGCCAAGTCTTACTTGCTTCTTCCTTTGAAAAATCCCTTGAATATGCCTTTTCTCTGCTGCCAGTGCCACCTGGCACAGGCCCTTGGCACCTCATGGCTGGACCATGGCACTAGCTGGCTGCTTCGTTCCCCTGAGGCAATTCTTTTCCCAGGGCAGCCCAGACTCCTCTAAGTTATCAAACTCATCATGTCACTTCTTAGCACCTGCAGGATCAGATAGAAAAATCCTCTTGTACCTGGCCAGTCAGAGACATCTCAAGACCCAGTCTACCTTGCATCCTATATATACAGTCCCAAGGCATTAATACTTAGGCCTACTGAAGGCCTCTCCACCTAGGGACCCCAAGACCTGTACTTACAGACATCCAGCGAGATGAGGGCAGCACACCATAGTGCCGTGTGGCTCTGGCCTTGTTTGTAGCCTCCCTCAGAAAAGAGGGGACCATTCTGATACACAGGGGAGCTTGGCACCAGTCTCCTGCGTGGGGGGAAGGAGAGTTAACAACATTTTTTCTACTTCCTGCCTGAACTATCAGCCACCCTAAGGACTTTGAAAATATATCTAAAATCTTCCCTTCATGATGGACAAATTCCCTGACTCCCCCTTGCTACCTCCCTCTTAGACTGTCCTGTCTGCTCCACAGGCAACAAGCTTGCTTTCACTTTCAATCTTTCCCTGTCTCCCACTGTACTCCGATCACTCCTTGTCCCTCTGCCACTTCCAGCTTTTCCTACTCTGGTCTCTCAGGAGCCACGTCCTCCAAGGGTCACTCAGATGGTAGCTCCCACCCAGTCACCATTTTGGCAGCTGTTTTCTCGCGCTCTCTAGGACACCTCCCTTCTTTCTTCCATGAGTTCAGTGGCTGCCTCACAGGCTTTATCTCCTGTCCTCATACTAGGGAACCTGCACATACATAGAGATAATCCCTTCAACATTCTGAACTCCTGGTTCCTCAACTTGTTCTCCATGACCCTCACACAGAGATGGTCATAGCCTTTATTTTCATGAGTTCTGATCACAATCTATCGTCAGTCCACCTCTCCCTCTGCCTTCCAACACGAACCCCTGTTCTTTGCTCTTGGGTTCTTTTTCTGCCTCATCCTATGGCCAACCTCATCTTTGAATCATTCCCACAACCCTCACTTCTCCTTCACCCTCTCATGTGAAGAGGTGGCCCTTCTCTTTCCCAAGGCCAATCCTCCTACCTTCTCCAACATATTATGCTTCTCTATCATTCCAACTCTTTCATTTACCTTAAGCGAAAAGCAAGAAGAGACATTTGGGGACAGGAGTCAAGTTCTACCCTTGGAAAGGGATTGCTGTGGGCCTTTGCAACATATACCACCCCCAAGATGCTTCATGGGCCTCACAGGTTTTGCCTGGAGAGACTTAGCATGGTTCCCAGGAACTCTTTGCATAGAGAAAAGGTGGCTGAGGAGGCTAAGCCCTGGGTGGGGGGTATAGCCCACCCTGGGATGTTAGTGACTTTCCCAGGGTCACATAGCGGAGCAGTACCTGAGATTACATTTGAACTCAGGTCTTCCTACCTTCACAGCCTGAGCTCTAAATACTAGGTCATACAGCTGTCTCAAGAGAAACTATGTGCTTGCTTGTACTCTTCCTGCCTTCTCCCCAGTCAGACTTCCAGGGAAAAGAGTAGCTAACAGTGAGCAGGGATTGCCCAGAAACAGCTGAAGTCTGGGAGCTGCCATGAGTCCTGTGCACCTAGAGTGGGTGAGCCAGGAAAAAGCTTCCCCCCATTTCCCTTCTTAGTCTGTGATCTACAAACAAGAAAGAAATACTCTGTAAAGCCTTTCCAGTGAACTGGGCGGGGGGAGTCTTTCCCTGACTGTACCTGATGATATGGGAAGGAATCAGGAGGAGGAGTGTTTGGCCTAGGTCCCCTTTGCTCTATTCTACAGAAGATAAAACTATGTGAGTCCAAGCTGCTGATCTCTGTGTAGTACCAAAAGTGACCTAAGAAAGTGGTAGTCACGATGGGAGCTCTCATCAGATAGTAAATTGCATACTTACTTCTGCTACATCTCACTTCGTATCCTAGATTGAATTGGAAGCTGGTCACAAAGGGATTAAGAGTTTCTTCTGAGTCAAGCACTGAAATGGCTGTCATGTTGGGGTGGGGGTGGAAAATAGGGGAAGAGTAGCTTAGCTAATGGCAAGCTTTAAGACTGCTCTAGAGGCCCATGGGGGCATTGCAGCTTATTAGAAAGTGACTTTTCTTTGCACCTGCATCAGCAGAGGACCCAAGAGGCCGGAGCTGGTAGCTCAG